TTATTGAGATTAACTGAAATTATTAAATTTATCATTACCGTTTTAACTTAAAAATTGAATATTTATTTATAAAAACTTCTTACAATTTTAACATTAACAACAAATAAATAAAAAGGGGGTAAATATAAATATGTAATTTTATTTTATAAATATTTCTAATTTATCATTCGCTGGTAATTTAATTAATGTGATAACATTTAAGAATTAATTTATACTTAAAATTATCGAAATAATAAACGATGTTTAATTTAAATTAGGATTAAAAACATGAAAAATATACAAATGTAATGCTAATAAAAATGAAAATAAATGAGATAGAAAATCTTAGGAAGAAAAGAAGATAAAAGAAAAATGAATTAATTGAAAATGGTAATAAAATGATACTAAATCAAGAAATAGGGTAAATAAATGATAGGAAATGAATATTTAAACACAAAATCAGAAAGATAAATTCATTAAAATGATCTTCTTTATACTTCTGTTTATTACTGTCTCATTATCAAAACAATGTACTGAATACAATCAAAGATATGAAATAGATACAGTTGATGGTGCATTTGAATGTATTGAATCGTTGATTACTCTACCTGACCAAAATGAAGAAATAATAAATGTATTAAAATATTATTTAGAAGCATATGTATTTAAAGATATATTAAAGAATCCACCACAACCATCATTTTCAAATAATTATTATGAAAAAGTTGATATTGATTCAGAATTAAATAAAATAAATACAGACACAATAAATTTCTATGATTTCTATTCTCAAATTAAAAATCTTATTATTTCAACAAGAGATTATCATTTAGGTTTTAGTGTTGATGAAAGTTCTAACAATGATAACAAAGATTTGCTATATTTCTATTATTTCCTTCCTTTTAATATTACTATTGATAGAAATAAGAAGATGTATTTAATTCCAAAAGATGTTTTTAAGGGAGTTTCAGTTGATGTTCCACAAAAAATAATAGATAACAAAGATGTAGCTATTAAAACAATAAATGGAGAAGATCCATTTAATATTATTCGTGAATTTGGAAAAGAGTATATTCGATTAAGGTGTCCACATGCACAATTCACAGAAGCAAAGTCATCAGAATCTGATTACGCATTAACACAAGGAAGATTATCTTTACAACCACTATCAAAAAATTATTTAAATAAACCAATTTATATTACATGGGAAAATGGTCAAAGTGATAATGTTAATTATTCAATCCTTAGATATGGTTCAAGATATAAAGTGAACAAAGAACAGATAGAAAACATTAATAAGCATCATTTAATGGAAGAAGAATTTTTAAAATCAATTAATAGAACCACAGAATATATTGAAAATGAAGAATTAAAAAACGAATATGGGTCATTAGTTGAACCCATATATTTGTAGAGTTTCAGACAAAAAAGTGAACACTTTTATATTGAAAAGTTTTATAAGTTTTCATACACTTAGTCCTTATTATAAAACAATTTTAAATTGTATCGAATTATTTGACTCAAATGAATATCCAATTCAAGTGATACTTCCAGAAAATGAAGGAGGAGATGAAGGGTCTGAACAATGGATAGAAAAGATATTTGCACCACATAATGATGTAAGAACAATAGTTTCAGCAAGGACTTCAACATGTACACAAGAAATGTTACAAAAAGGGATCGATGGAGATTTATTAAATGACCCTAAAACATGCAATAAAAGGGGAAAATTGAATGATCAAAAAGAAATTCAAAAATGTGCAGGAGTAAATCCAGAAGGCTTTTTTAATAAAATTGTGTGGGTTGGTAAAAAGATATATTGCATGATCAAATTAAACAGATGGTATATAAAACCAAAAACAATAAAATATGGAAATGTTAAACATAAAATTACACAACCATCAATTATGAAATGGGAAACAAAGAAATTAATGAGTAAACCAAGAAAACCAACAGAAATAGTAGTTTATACAGATTCATTTTGTTATTCTGCTTGTTCAGTATTTACAAAAGGATTAAAAGAATGGGGAAGTGCTATTCTTGTAGGATTCAATGGTGATCCTAATGGTAAAGATGAAGAATTTGAAGTGGGATTATCACCATCAGCAGTGAAAAGTGGTTATGATTTATGTAGCTCTAAATATAAAATCCCTGATGGATACTCACTTCGTTTAAGTTTCTTAGAATCTTTTAGATATAATTATGCGTATAAAGAAAAAATACCAAGAGAATTTTTAACAGATATGATAGATGAAAGAGTGAATATTTATCAATATTCAAATAATAACTTGGAAGAATTTGAAGAAGAAACATTGAAAATAGTTGATAAGTATAAAACAAAATGTAATCCAAATAATAAAAGATTAGTTAAAAGAGATGAAAAATGTGATAAAGAAATTAATATAGAACATGGACATGGAGGATATGAATGTGGAGATAAAGGAGAATGGAGTACAAAATGTGTACTATCATATTGTGATTCAGGATATAAATTTGATTATAATAATAATAAATGTATTGAAGATGTATGTGTTAATCCACCAACAGACAATGGAACAATAAACATGACAATAAACCTATTTCTGATACTAATAGGAGTAATAGTGTTACTTTAACTCTCTAATTGAAGAGTTTTAACTTAAAATTACATTTGATAGTTATTTTTATTAAAATAAAATAAAATAAATCTTGTATAATGAGAGAGTCTCATTAATATATGAATAAAAGTAATAACACTTGAAAATAGTAAACTTGTGATTTCATTTTGGTTATCCATAGAAAAAAATGCTAACAATCTCATTTTTATTAAAATTCATAAAGAAATATTGGGTAATACATATTTTATTTCAAATGAAGTAATATATAAATTAATTTGACAATATTGTCATGACCTTAATGATATTTCTTTTTTGATGCATTACATACGTTAATTAATTTTATGTTCTTTCTTTAATTCTTATTTCTATGAATGTACTTACATTTTGGTTTTAGAATAAATGATATTACTGAATGGTTTGTTTAACATAACTATATTCATATTGTAGATGATAACACATTAAAATGAAATAAATTAATCAATAATAAATATTTTAATATAGAAATTGTATTAATTTATATAATACTCTTGTTTATTTGAATAAACTGAGAGTTTTCATTAACTGTTTAGAATATAATGCACAAACAAATTCATATAAACAAAAATGATTAAATATTCAAAATAAAAAACATAAAAGTATTGGATTCCTATTGCATTGGTATTGTTTTAGTTTTCGTATACTATTTAAAGAAATTGTTTCATTGTTTAATTTCTTATCATCAAATGAAAATGGTGTAAAAATAATAGGATAATAAAGAATGAAATTATGATATCATATAATTAAAATATAAAATATTCAATTGATGAATACTGTATAAGTCATCTATTATCAATACAAGTCAATGTAAATTCAATAAAAAATAATTGTTTTTGTATTTAGTCATTATTTTTGTTGTTATGAAAAAATAAAAGTTGAACATAAATAATTGTATTTAGTTGTTTCTTCAATAACTCTAGTAAAAAATAAAAGAGGATATGCAATATTGATAATCCCCTCTTAAAGTTCATTTCATTAAGTTTAATTTGTCTAGTTATAACATGTAAATAAATTTATGTTATGATATTTAAAAAAACCATAAATTGTATTCAAATTATTAAATAATCAAAAATCAGTTTTAAAATTGGAATGAGTTTCTATTTCTCATTGATTTTTGTTCAAACAAGTGAGTTTTGTGATTTCTATTTTAAATGATAAAAATAAATGAACAAAAATATTATTGAATAACATCGAATTTATTTTTACATTCTTACACAGTATTTAAAAGAGTTGTAAACAACTATCAATCAACACTCAAGAGACAATGAAACAAACTAAGTTACTTGTTATGGGACATACTGGTCATGGTAAAAGTTCACTTGGTAATTTTATTCTTAAAAAGAATGTGTTTAGTGTTAGTGTTAATCCTAATTCTGAAACCAATGAAACAAAAGGATATTCCGGAACAGGTGATAGAAGTGATATACTTGTTATTGATACACCTAGTTTTAACGATTCTAAAGGTCCAGAAAGTCAAAGAGAATATATGAATCAAATGGTAGATTATATTAAAAAAGAAGGAGAAGGACTCCAAGCCATTGTTGTTGTATTAAATTTTAATGAGGATAGATTTCTGAAAATATTAAAATAATGATTAGAATAATAGCTAATGCCTTTCCAATTGCTGGCTTTTGGAAAATGTTTGTATAGTATGGACATTTTGTGATTGTTATAAACCTCAAGCTGTGTTAGATGAACATATTAAGACTAAAAGATCAGATTATAATAAAGAACTGATGGATTTTATTAACCAAACAACAGGAAGTGAACGCATCATTTTCCCAATGTTTTTTGTAGACTCAAAACCACTTGCAGGATATGATAACTCTAGATCAGAGAATGAAATTGAATCTCTTTTAAAATGGGCAAGAAAGTTATCATTTATTGATGTTGATAAAGTTGTAAAGAGGGACATTTTCTATGAATCTGTTATTCTAGAAGAGAAAGATGAAGAAATAATCATAAATAAAACAAAAAGTAGTATAACAATTCAAATCAACCACTTGACTAGGGAGAGAAGAATTCCTTATTATGGGCGTGAACCTGTTTACTCAGATTGGGAAGTTGTTAGTTCTAAGACTAAAACCAAAGATTTTCCAAAAGAATATGTCACACAATATATTTACAGAGATCCACCAAAAGAGAAAAAAGATGAAGAAGGTATCGACCTTGACGAAACAATGCCAACTTTGATTGCTGCAGGTGCTATTGTGGGTACTGTCATTGCAGCTTTTGTTGATAGTCGAAGAAAAAAATAGTCAAACTAAAAAGGGTTATTTTCTTAACTTTTTAAGAAAAAGAATAAATTTTAATTCAATACTTTAAAACATACTTTTTGTTGTACCAACCAAGTACTGAAGGAAATAAAGATAACCAAAAAAGAATTCCAAAAAGGTTAAAGAGAAAATAATGATTTTGTTTAATTAGTTTGATTGATATATATTTGTTTGTTTAAAAATCTATTTGTTGAAATTTACTTCATTTATTCTCGCATTTATACACATTTCTTTTTTAAATATCTCTTGCTTTTTATATTCTTACTTAATTCATCACTGAGAATCGAATGTTACATATCAGAAACACAGCAAAGAAACCCTAAATGAGGTACATGCTTCAATTCAATAATTATTGTCTTGTCATGACGTTGACTTTATTAAAAAACGATACACCACTATCCAACACTGCAACGTTTCAACTATTTTTATTGTCTATTAGATGTTATTTGCTATTTGGAGGGAAAAAAAGAAGAGTTACAGGACACACCACAAAAATTATAAAAAGTCAATAACAAAAGAAGGAGAAATCAATATCATCCATGAAATATAAATGATAGAAGAATGAGTGAAACCATATTATCTGTATGGACAGAAATACATTAATCATCACAACAATCATTACCTTAATATTAACTATCACCATAACAATTATCATAACAGTTATAATAATAATGATATGAGTCATTTCATTCGGGAAACAAAATAAGCGAAGAAATTATGCATCTAAATAAATTGCTCAATTGAAAATAGTGTAATATATTTTTTGCATAATGGAATATTCTGTTTTCGGGCAAAATATTTTACATCAATAAAATAATACTTTTTATTATTTTGCTCCTAAAAAAAATAAAAAATAAAAATGTAAATTAAATACTCATTCTATATTCATTTATATTTCTTTATATTTTATATCATTTATGATAAATTGTTATGAAATATAAATAATTCAGAAATGATATTTGATTCAATGTATGTATACATTTTTATTATTATTTTATTATTATATATTTATGTATTTTATTTTTATATATTTATTTCTATTATTATATTATATATCATCATATTATCTATATATATTTTATATTTATCATATTTTATTAGTTTGATATTCTTATTATTTATATTTTATTTTATATATTAATACACTTCTATTTATATATAATTTATTATATATTAATATATTTCTTTATTTTATTTTCATTTTGATTATATTTTTATATTTTATATCAATTTTCTCTTTATATTTATTATTATTATATTTATATTATATTGATTTTATTTATTATTCTTTTATTATTATTTTACTATTCAATTTTATTATTATTTTATGGTTTTATATTTGTTTTA